TTAATAGGGGGCACCGCGATGATTCACGGGGCCTCTCCTTGCTGTGGGAGCCGCTCTTTGAGCACTCCCTCTTTCGTCTGTGTGAAGGACGGTCGTCGACCTCTCGTGAAGTTAATACATCACCAAAACAGTCTCACCCGATAAATAAGTGGCGTAGGCCGCAAACAGCGTCCTCCTTTATTTTTGTTTTTGTTTTATTTTGATCGGTTTCCGAGGGCTCGTTTCTCGAACGGTCGGTGTGATACCTGTTCTTTTCTTTCGTTTTGTTTTCTTTTTCCGAGTGGTTTGTACCCTATTTTTGTTTTGTTTCCCCGCGGCGTTGTATGTGCCGGGTTTTGAGACCATGGGCTCCCCATTTTTGTGGACTATAGAGCTAGACTAATGTTAGAAACAACAACAACAACAACAACAACAACAACAACAACAACGTGCTCAGCTGCACGCCCTGTTTGGAACAAGAACACACACCTGAGGTGCAAAACTGCTGCTACAAATAAGGACGACAGCAATGCAGCGGCTGCCAGATAAGAATATTCGCAGGGGGAGGGAGGGACGAGGGGGAAGTGATCCCAGAGTAGAGAGTATTGGATTTGGGAGGGGTACATACCCCACATGTCAATATTTGTAATTTTTTAGAGGGGGCGGGTGGGCATTGTATGCACGCGTCGTGCCCCTGGGTGCCCCCGAGAAAAGCGTGAGTGTCGCGCAACGTGCAGCGTGCCACGAGCTGCCTGCGGTGTAGGGGGATCATGTCCCAGTGCAATCCGTTATCCCATGGGATATTGAAAGAGCTTGGCAAACTTGCAGAGTCTGATTCTTGACCGTTACTTCGAGACGAGACAATCAAAGCACACGTGAAGGCTGGGCATAGGGCTGATCACTCAACAATCTCAGAAGGACACTCGCCACCTGTACGACTACTGCTGCGTGCAGCTGGAGCTAGACCAGAGTACCCGCAAGATGAAGTTGCCCTTAGACAAGTACAGCGGAGATTCGGATGCGGCTTTAGGCTCCTGGGTTTTGCTTGAGAGCATTAGTAGATCAGGAAGGGTACGCAGGACCAAGTCACCCTTGGGGACCAAGAAGGTTGACAGTTGCTGCTCCATGCCTCGGTATTTTCTTGTATCGACAGCAGTACTAGTGTTGCTCATGGTTGACAACCGGCAATATAGCTATGATGTTAATAATATACTGCTGCTGTAAGAACAAGAACGCCCCTTTCTGGAGAAGAATGGACGACGAAATAAGAACTTGACAAATAAGAACTGGTGCTCGGGTTGGGGCAGCCAAAAAGAACAGAGCCTAGGCCAGTATATACAGGAGGTTCTCAAGTGCGGGGTGCTGTTGTACAACCATGACAGTGCTTTGCAGGTCTTGAGGGAACGGGGCCTGCCAACAAGCACTGCGAACGGCCAAATTTTAAAGATCCCTTGGTTGTCCTCGGAGCGACAGACCTACCCCACAAAGAGTCTCCGCACTATTTGTTCCTCCTGGCTGTTTTCTGGCACTCGGAGCGACCATAGATCTAATTGACACGAAAGATCATTCGCCAGTGTCCAGTCCTAGGCTCTTCACGCGCTCGGGTGGGCTGGTGAGCAAAAAGGCTGTGAACTGCACAGATCGAGATCGAAAAATGAAAATCGAAAGCGTCAGGATGTGTCTTTTCGACAGAATCAAGATCAGAAATCGAAATCAAAAATCAGTTTAAGTCCTGGAAGATGGAAGAGCCAACGAACATCTGCTGTTATTGGATGGAAAAACTTTCCACCTGTCCGTCGGAAGCATTTGCATGGAGACCGCACGGAATCTTCCTATGCTTAAACCCGAACTCAAATAAATGCAAAAACATTAAAATCGATGTCGACTTTTGCGAACAGCGCACGTGGCGGGCTATTGGGTGTGTAGGAGCCGGGTTTTTGTGCCGATTTGACACATCGAGGACCGCGCCTTGGCATCTTGGCATGCATGTGGAGGACACCCACCACTCACGCGCGAGCGGCAGTAAGCAGAGGAGACGATGTCACAGCCTGGGGCAAACGGTGACGGGCGGTACTACAACGCGTAGGTGTACCAGCTCCTCCGCTCGCGGCGCACGAAATTATCCCGGGTCTGAGGGGGATCGCCTTCGTCCATGAGCACCATTATCATCAGCAGCTCCAGGAGCTGTCTCATGCGCTTCTTTGTCTTTCCTCGCAGCCATGAGCGGCGGCTGGCAGGAGCGCGAGCCATTCTTTTGGGATGAGGCGCGACGCTGCGGACGTCGTGTCACGGAACTGGCGGGCTGTTCGC